GTATTTCAAAGATTCATGATCACTATGAATTACAAACTCTTTTGGTAAAAGGTAATGCTGCCAAGTTTGTAAAGCACGCACTAAGGCATACAATTCCTTATCATAGGTGGGATAGTTTAGGGCACCCCCATTCAACTTCTCATTAAAATAAGCAATTGGATGACCTTCTTGTAGCAAAACAGCCCCAATACCCACATGCTTTTTAACTATTTCATTAAGAGGTGCAGCCAAAGTACTAAAGTCTTTAACAAACCTTCTATAGAAACTAGCTAACCCATGAAAACTTCTCACTTCACTCACATTCTTAGGGGTAGGCCACTCTTGGATGACTCTAATCTTTTCCTCATCAACTTGTACCCCTTTAGAACTCATAACAAATCCCAAGAACACAACATGATCAGTGCAAAAGGTACATTTTTCAAGATTAGCAAACAATTTTTCCTTTCTAAGCACATTCATGACAGCACGCAAATGTTCAACATGCAAATCAAAATTAGTGCTATATATCAGAATATCATCAAAATACACCACTACACATTTGCCTAACAACTCTTTCAAGACAAGGTTCATCAATCTCATAAAAGTGCTTAGAGCATTAGTTAACCCAAAGGGCATAACTAGCCACTCATACAACCCATATTTAGTTTCAAAAGCTGTTTTCCACTCATCTCCTTCTCTAATTCTGATTTGGTGATATCCACTTTTCAAGTCAATTTTAGAGAAGATACAAGCACCATACAATTCATCCAAAAAGTCATCTAACCTAGGAATGGGATGTCTATATTTTACCGTGATGTTATTGATAGCTCTACAATCTATGCACATCCTCCAAGTTCCATCTTTCTTAGGGACTAGAATGACTGGGACTGCACATGGACTCAAGCTTTCTTTAACCCACCCCTTTTGCATTAAGTCTTCAACTTGCTTTTGAATCTCCTTGGTTTCTTGGGAATTGCTTCGATAGGCTGGTCTATTAGGCAATGAAGCTCCTGGAATAAGGTCAATTTGATGCTCAATACCCCTAAGAGGGGGTAGACCTATAGTCACTTCTTTGGGAAAAACATCTTCAAAATCCTGCAACAAAGAAGAAACCTCTTTTGGAAGAGAGTTAGGAAAACATGGACTGTTTGATTTACTTTCTTTACTCAAAAGTAAAAGTATTGGCTTTCTCAATTGCATAGCTCTTTTGACTTTTTTTTCTTTTATAAATAGATTTGATTTTTTTTTTCTCTTTTTTTCTTCCTCTTTTTCCTTTTTCTTTTCACTCTCTTTTTCTTTTCTCTTTTCTCTCTCTTTTTCTTTTCTCTTCTTTTCTTTTCTTTCTCATTTTCAGTTGATCCTCACTAACTTCTCTTGGAACCAAAGGTGCAAGAGTAGTTTTGCGGTCTTTATGCATAAAAGAGAACTTATTAGTGAAACCATCATGCATAACTCTCCTATCATACTGTCATGGTCTCCCAAGAAGTAAATGACAAGCTTCCATAGGCACCACATCACACAAAACAGAATCTTCATATTTCCCTATGGAAAAACCCACTTCAACTTGCCTATTCACGGTCATCTCACCATCTTCACTAAGCCATTGAAGTTTGTAAGGTCGCGGGTGTGGCTTAGTCTCCAAATTCATTTTTGAAACCAACCGCACTAGCCACATTAGTGCAACTCCCACCATCAATGATCAAAGAGCACAACTTCCCTTGAATGAGGCACCTTGCATGAAAAATATTTTCTCTTTGACAATCATCCAATTCAACTGATTGACTACCCAACATCCTTCTAATCATGAACAAATCTCCTTCTAACTCTCTTTCATCTTCATGCTCATTTTCATCACTAGATGGAGAATCTGAAGAAGATTCACTAATTATTTCTCCATCCTCCTTAAGTAACATAGTCTTCTTAGTGGGACATTGAGAAGCTATGTGACCTCTTCCCAAACATTTGAAGCACTTAATCTCACTACTCCTTTTTTTCGTAAGTGTCTCATCAGACTTATTTTGATTTCTATGAATTATAACATTGGAATTGCTTGTTGATGATCCTCCCTCCTTCTTATTTTTGTCCTTCCAACTAGGAGTGTGAAAATTAGATGAACTCCTCCTCATGACACCCTTTCTCTTTAATTGTTGTTCCACCTTAGAAGCTTGATGTACTAAATCCTCCAACTCAACATAATTTTGCAACTCCACAGCATCCCTTATATCACTATTTAGCCCATGTAGGAATCGGGCCATAGTAGCCTCCCGTGCCTCCATAACATTAGCCCTAATCATGGAAACCTTCATCTCTATGTAATATTCATCAACACCTCTACTACCTTGTATGAGTCTTTGGATCTTGTTATGAAGATCTCTTTGATAATGAGAAGGAACAAATCTTCTTCTCATCAACCTCTTCATTTCTTCCCAACTTTCCATCAAGGGTTCTTCATATCTCACCCTTTCCCTTTGTAATTGGTTCCACCAAATGAGAGCATAATCAGTGAATTCCATGACTGCCACCCTCATCTTTTTATCTTATGTGTAATTATGGCATGCAAATAGTTGCTCAATTTTTATTTCCCACCCCAAATATGCTTATGGATCACTCTTTCCTTGAAAAGAGGGTATGTTCAGCTTTACTCCTTCAATTTTGTTATCTCTAACATCATCTTCATTATTTCTCCTTCTCCTCCTTCTACCTCCACCATCATCATCATTTCCTTGATTTTCTAGTTGTTCAATTCTCCCATACAACTCCTCGGTATGTTCTGTCAACATTCTTTGCATTTTGGCTGTAATGGCATCAATCAATAATCTATTGTCATCCCCTAGAAGAGGGGTACCACCACCACCACCTGCCATCTTTCAAGTAAAAAAAAGAAAGGACCAAACAAATGAAGTAATAAGACCTCACCACTCTTCTCACGTGTTTGCACTCAAAGATGTACTACTCGTGTTTACTCTCAATTTGGCTTTTGTATAATATGCACTCTTGTCTTTTTCCACTCGTTCTCTGACTTATGGTTCTTACAAGAATCAAACAATTTATAGTTCAAGAATCACTTTCAACTGTAGCAATCACAAGGAATAAAACAAAATTGTAGTACCAACAAAGGACAAATAGCAAAGAACAATTTTACTACTAACAACAAGCAAGACAAATCTAAACTGTATAGAAAAACAAAGATTAGACAAAGACGTTTGACACTTAGGAATTTTATCAAACAGACTAATGTGCACTCGAAATTTAAAGAAAGAACAACTGCCACATATATATATTTTTTTTTTCTAATTCTTTCTTTTGATTTTTTTTATTCTTTTTTTTTATATATATATATATCTAAATGAAATTCAATATCAAAATTGCATAAACAACAGTTTTTTTTTTTTGAACAGTACACGTGAACAGTGACAAATGAATAGTACCGTGAACAGTAACAAGTGAACATTGCAGTGAACAGTGACAAATGAACAGTACTGTGAACAATAACAATAAACAATACCGTGAACATTGTCGATGAACAGTACCTGTGAACAGTGCGATGGACAGTACCGCTTTTGAACCAGACTCTGATACCAAATGACGACACTCGAATAGAAGGGAAACAATTTAGGGTTAGGTTTTAAGAATTGATTTGATTGGAAATAGAAAACAGAAAAAATAAAAGATACCGTAGGCGCCACAAATAAGAATATTTGATAAGCCAAGAAGGATCGCCACGAGAATCGAATAATTCTTGATAAGATCAAGTGATGCAAGGAAGAACCCTAGTAGAGCAACAACTCACAAAGTAATATGAATATTACGTACGTTCATTCTGAATTCCCAAATGTTTAATACAACTTAAGTTTATGAGTTTGTCTTATTGCAGGAAATAAAGATAAATTAAAATCCTAATATTCCAAGCAAATTTAAGTTACCCAGATGGTTCAGTGAAGACATTATAAGTTTTGGGTCTTGGGTTCAAATCCCCACTGTAGCAAATAAAATAATAATAATAACTAATTCTTTTAGTTGGGCCTCCTAGCTCTCTAAACATTCTATGCATGTGGTAGGTCTAGACTCCTCCATGTTTGGATCTTTTAATAGTTGGGTCTTTAGCAAATTGGTCACTTTGTATTGCAATGTCTCTTGTGTTTTTCTGAGTTTGCCTCTTGTCATAGGTTCACCTATGTCTTGGATTGGATCTTGGTCTTGATCCTTCTCGTTATGGACTTGGGTCTTTATGTCCACCTAATGTCAACCTAAATTATTATCACTTTTGGGTTGTCATCTTCATGTCAATTCTCCCCTTTGCATTCTTACATTGAATACCTCAAGTACAAACACATGGCAAGCTATACTCATTTCAGAAGTAGCATATTATTTGACAAATCTTGTGTGCTCCGCTGTTGGGTTTATGGTTGACTTCATCCATCCGTCAATGCAATGTATGAGAAACTTGAAATTGGAGGTTTAACATTTCTCTAAAATGTTACTTGTTTGCATTATTCTGAACCTATAACAATCACTATAACCTGGCTACAACTGTTATTAATTCACACTTGTACCAGCCAGGGAGAAGCTGTCCGCTGCCTTTCAAATTCGTAGAGAAAGCCACTCAAGTACAAGGGAATAACCGATCCATGATGAAAGTAATCGTATTGTCATCTCATAAGCAACTCAAGTAAGTATTCAACCCAATTCCTTTGTGTTTATTATTCGAACTTCTAATATTAATAGCACGTTACTATTTGAAAACTAATTTTTTAACGGAAGAGAATTTATATGGAGTTGTGCTTATTTACATTCTTTTTTTCTAGATGCTGCTGTACATAATTGCATGAAAAAACATACATCAAAGGAAATTGACATTTTCGATTCATATAGGTTGAGCTCAACAAAACCAAGCTGTACTGACTGTAGGGCATAAGCTCTCAAAAACAGAGGCTTCAAAACAAGGACTTCTTCTGGCCCACATAAAATCCTAGCCTAAGACAATTAAAAGCTATACAGATACATATACAAAAGCTATACACTCAACGTACACCAAAATTCACAGTTATGTTACACGAAACTGTTGTCCTTGCTACTGCCTCATCTCTGCAAGAAGTGTTGATTTTACAGGTCTCGTTAGCTTCCGCCCCAGATGGTGATTTTTTAGTCTCCTCACGATACAAGTTGACACATCTCATGCAGACAAACTTGGAGGGCATACCTTCAGAATTATCAATCCCAGCACATCTGGTATGCTGCCAAACACCACAGGTATCACATGCCAACATTTTCTCTCCATCATCATCTTTGGCCCCACAAGTACAATCAACCTTCCACGCCTCTGTTCCTCGTTCCATTCTGAATCGACTTAGCCCATGTTTTGCTAGGCATTTACCTTGAATTCGAACTGATCCCCTAGTTCCGAGCAAAAACTTTAAAGTGAGCGAATCACTGATGGACCCGTATCCTAGGAGTTCTTCAGCTTGAAACCTCTTATACATTGCATAAACCTCTTGAAAAGCACTGGTGGCTTCGCTCTTGAGCTCAGCAATGGTTGCATTCAAAGGCAACACAATCAGCTCTGGCGGTGGGGATGGATCATCTTTAGGCTGATCAGAAAGCTCCACATGACACAACAGCCTAATGACAGAAGGCAGTTCAACTGCCATTTCACATGGCTTGTAATCCTTCATAAATTGTTTACAGTCAAGGAGCTTCCTGGCTGAATCAGCAACCCTTTTCCTCATAATCTTAGGTCTGTAGGACACCATTTTGTCTGGATGAATTATTGAATAAAATAAAAATGCCAAATCAGAGATAAGTTGTTCTTCTGTTGGATAACTTGAATTTGTGCTTAATCCATTACTCCAAGGTACCAACCTGTTATGAAGAATATAGCACATGCTTTAGTTTACATTAATCAAGACGTAATTGACAAAAGTCATGTCATCTTCAATCGCACCTGAATTCAATGGCACTGGAAATGGGATTGCATCGTGAACAAACTACCATCCCATTGGCAGCTAATTTACCAGGTAAGTGCTTAAGACAGTAATCAAGAAGCTCTGGAGATGAAACACCCCTGCATACTGCACCTTTGAGAGCACGCCTGGACACCCATTTGGACTCTGTACAAGCACCAGATGCAAGCAATACCTTGACTAGAGCATGTTGCACATCTTCAACATCTTTTCCCGTCCAAGTACACAACAAATTACTGGTGTGCTTAAATGTTGTCATGGCCATTGGCTTCCGACATTCCCGAATCAATGTCAACAAAAAGGAGAAGAGATCTTGAATGTTCAGAAGTTCAGTTTCTGCCAATGATTGGTAAAGAGAAATGACACACTCCAGGCGGCTTTGCGGTCCCCGACCATGGAACGAAAATGATGACAACGGCATACTTGACAGGGTATTCACTGCATTCTTGTACGCATCTTGGGTAAGAGCATAGCTTCCAGTTCCAAATTCATAAGCCCAATTGCCATACCAGGAGTGTCCTTTGGTGATTGCATGAAGCAATCGGTATTCCAGCCCAAATTTCTTGGACAAATCCATCACGCTAACCTTCCTGCTCAAGTTTACAACACAATTAAGAAACGGGAGTAAAGCCCACACTGAAACAAAATGTGAGAAAATCGAGTGATTCAAACAAACCTAACAGAAATTGCAGTACATAGCCTATCCCAGAAATTCATAATATCAGATCCAGATAGAAGCTTCGAACCACCTTCTCTTCCACTAAGAGTAAGGAGGTGACCATAACCATTGGAATGAACCACACCGTGCAGGAGATGAGTGTTATCTTCAATCTGAAGATACACCCAGTCCTCAAGGTCATCTACGGTGATGGCAAAGTTACAGGATCTACACCTGCGGTAGGAGAGTAGTTACTTTGCATTCAATTTCAACACAATAATTGTTTGAACAGAAAGAAATAAAGTGATGATACCTTGTTTCAGATAATTGGAGAAGGTTTCCACATCTTGAACAAGGTCTTTGATATGGTTCAACAGCATTATTAATGGCTCTTATTATGAAATGGTATCGCTTTCGACACACTGGATGACCACTCCACCCTTTGTTTTTTCCAACAAAAAGTCAGCAGTTAGAGCACAACCATATATACTCCACCATATATACCCCAAAGGTGCCATAAAAAAGATAAAAATAAAAAAACTATCTCATAAATATCCCACTCTTTTCACAAACAATGCAATATTATTATTATTATTATTAATTATTAATATTTCATTATTACAAATAAATAAACTATTATAATAGATAAATAATAAACATAGGCAAAATATACCACTGTATTTTTGGCGCACAAAGATATAAAAAAGATACTATAAAGTTTTCAGTAATCAGGCGGAGTTGAATACTTAAAAATTAAAATGGTGAAAGAATTTATAAACATAGGATTAAAAATTAAAATGGTGAAAGTGAAGTGAAGTTCCCATCTCCAGTGATCTGCCTGTTTTAATTGTATTTTAAGCTAATGAGAAATGCATGGGTCTAGAGTCACAGACTCAGCCAGTGGGCTCACCAACGACTCGGCACTGGTCACAATAGACAGAACTGCGAGAACGCGTTACATCCTCCTCAACAATGTCAAGAGTGACCACAGCGGGCAAGAGATCGGGACCGTCGACAAGGTCTCCAACACGGAACAAGATCTGCCACGTCATAAGGGACGGAAATAAGGAGGGAGGGAAAGTGATGCGTGCGTGGTCTGATAGGAAGCGTTGGACACACGTCCTGAAGGGTTCACCGGAGGATACGTCGGCGGCGGCCGGAAAAGTAAGGAAGTCATAGAGATCAGCTGTGACCCTCCTCTTCATCCTCTTGGATGATCTCTCGTTGACCACCATGGTCCGGTCTGGTGGGTTTCGAAACGACGTCGAATGGAGGGCTGAGTGAATAATAGAGAAAGGAGATCTGATCTAGCTATACACGAGTGATTGTCTGTGTTTGTGATGGAAGCCGAGACAGAAGCGACGGCAGCGTTGCTCTGTGCGTGTAAGTTGTGGGTGGGAGGAGTAGAAGAAGACCTGGTTGCTAGGGTTACATGGATGGTTTATTTTTGCATATATCCACTTTTCCTGAGGGCATATTTGTCATTTACACTTTAGTCATGGCGGTTCACTTTCCCTTTCTCCCAACTCCCTTTTCGTTTCCACACCTTTTCATTGTTTTTTATCATTATTCCTATTTTTAATTGTACAAATTAAATTTATAAATTATATGATTTATGATATTATATCAATATTATGATAATATAATTTGTGATATTATCTATGATTCACATATACCGCTTTTTATGATAATATATAAATATTATTTTTTATATATTATATCATTTTATTCTACATATTATCCTAAACATATTTATAATAATGTTGACATCTAAATTTAAAGTATATTATTAACTGAAACATTACCCAAATATAATCAAATATTATCTTATTTGTTATAATTGTAATTTAACATTATTTGAATAATAATTATAATTTTTATAATTGTAATTTAACATTATTTGAATAATAATTATAATTTTTAAAATTTTATACATTTTTTATTTATTAAAAAGGGACTACATTTTCTGACAGAATAATTTTATAATTTAAAATAAAAATAATTATCAAATTATTATTATTATTATTATTATTATTATTATATATATATATATATATAAAATGTTTTTCTCCGTTTACGTATTTTAGTTATATTATATAAAAAAAATCTAAAAAAAATCTTTTGTAAAATAATACTATTAATGATAAAATATTTATCAGTATATAAACAAAATTATCTATATAATATTGTTCAATCTCCTTTAAAAGAAAAATATCATATTTCTATGAAAATTTGGTATACCTTTATGTTTGGTCAGTTGCTTAAGTTTATAATGATCGTATTAAAGATTATATGTACTCAAATTATAGTGCATATAATTTATATTATAATTGTTATTCATATTTTAATCTTTGTTCCATCTATCATAATTACCTAAATATATAACATATATTTATATAACTAAATTGTTATTGCATAGTTTTATTTTAACATATATTTATATAATTAAATATTTATTGTATAATTTTATTTTAATTAAATTATAGGTTACATAATTTTGGTTGATCTCTATTTTTTATTATTTTTAATATTAAATTCATTGTATAAAAAATATTATGTTATATATATATATATATATATATATATATAAACATTTTAAATTTAATTATCCATGTTATTATTATAACACACAAAAATAGATTATTTATTAGATTTAAAATTATTATATATTTAGAAAATTAAATTAAACTTAATATATATCAATTGTATTGATATTTATAAATATTTTTCTAATTATATTCAAACAAAAACGTACTTTAAATTCTTATATTTTGTAATTAGAAATCACGTTCTAATTTGATTATAAAGTTGGGTTTCTTAATTATCTACTTGTTTGAATTTTTAAAAATCTTATATCATAATTTAAATTAGTCGTTATGGAATCTAAATTATAATCATATTTAAATATAGTTATGTATTCAGAATGTGATGTGTAATATAATTTATCTATATAAAATTACTAGTATTATAAAATTAGTTGGTAAATTTGATTTTCTACCCCATCTACAAATATAAATATGAATTGAATAATAATGTGAAAACATTGGGATTAATGAATGTTTAAACTAAATTCTAAAGGATTTTGGGAAGGCATTGTTACAAGGTGAGTGACATATCACAGATAAAATATAAAATAATTTATTTTCAAGCAACAGCGGGTAACTTTGGAATCGGAGTTGAGAAACGCGGTTCTCAACAATTTTTTGAATTTTCGTTCTCCCACTAAAATTAAACGTTAAACTAATGCCCGCGTTCGCAAGCCTCAAAAAACAACTAGTTTATTTATATATATATATATATATATATATATATATATATATATATATATATATATATATATATTTTAAAATAAAGTAACATACAATAAGAAACAACTAGTTTTATGCAATAATGTATTATATGTAAAATTATCATAATAAATATTTTAAAAGTGTAATTTATATTTAAAATTGATAATAAGTTAATGTTTTAGTCTCTATTTCACATAATAAACATTCAGTTTATATAATTACAGTTTTAATAAATAATTATGTATATATGGATTATATTGTAATGATAAATTATTATTTTTATAAACCCCATAAAATTCACATGAGACAGTACTATCTCTCCAAATTGCATCATTTTTTTCACTATTATTCCATTGCTTATTTAATCTTTTAATATCCCTATATCAAACGCACTTGTTTATCTCCCATTCAATAAAAACTCTGTAAATATTCACGCTTAATCAAAGATTAGGAAATTTTAAAAATATGAAAAAAATAAAGATTTATTTTATTTTAGTTTAGTTTTAATTTTTTAAAGACCACTTTTTAAAATTTATTTTTCGAAAATAAATTAAAAAATAGTTTAATAAAAAAAATCAAAATTTTTAGAAGAAAGAATGATATAAACAAATTCAAAAAAACATGATTTAATTGAAAAATATTTTTAATAATACTAATAAAAAAATGATTTAATATAATTATTAATGAAAATATAAATATTTATTAATAAAAATAAAATCAGATAATATCTTTTATTGAGTTTTTTTAATTTTTGAAAAAAACAAATTTAAACATTTTTTATTTTTTAATAAAATAATTATATAATTTTTTTAATTTCAAAAAATAAAAAATTACAACTCCATAATTTTTTTCTTGATACAATCTGTTTTCCTTAATCCTAAAGTTATGTAACCGATGCAATGTATATAAATTATGTTAGAATCACAAACGGTCAAAATAATAATAAAATTATTGAGTTGAATATAAATTCTAAATATATATATATATATATATATATATATATATATATAAATAAATAAATAATAAAATCATAAATCTTTTATAACCACGAGCGTGTTTCGATTATTAAGTAATCATAAAATATTTATATAAATTAGTTATATTTTTTTCAATATAATAATAATATAATAAAATAAATATATATATATATATATATATATATATATATATATATATATATATATATCAAACTTATATTATATAGGTTTCGGTTGTCATGATTAAAAGAAACTCATAATTTTTATTAAAAATAAAAAATAAAATAAAACTTGGCATTCCACAGATATTTTATATGTCAGGTGACTTTGATTGAAGATAATAATTTAAAAAAAAAACTAAAATAATAATAATAATAATAATAATAATAATATTATTATTATAGAAAAAAAAAGAGATTAAGATTAAAAATATATTACTAGATGAACACTCTCTCAATTTCATACTTTGAAAAGTATAGATTACGTCTGACAAAAATCTTATAGTATTAATTAAAATCAAATTAATAAACTAAAATACTTAACAATTTCAAATATATTTTATTGATATGAACTATTTTTATTTACAATTAAAATAAATTTAAGTCTCCATTAAAATCAAATTCATTCATAAAATTAATCTTTGATATGTTTAATTTTAATTTTGTATAATGAGTAATTTTTAAAAAGTTATAAATATTGTTTTTGCTTAATTATTAATAATTGTCTTTATGTTCGAGGGTGTTAACTATGATTATGAAAATGGGACTCAAGCTGGGATTTTAATCGAAAATCTGTTACTTATATCTTGAAATGGTAATAAATTGGAACATAATAAAAAAATATATGATAAATGAGTGATGTTATTATGTCAAATCGATTGAACCAATTTTTCCAAGGACATTTTCTTTTAAGAAAAAATATAAGAAATTTTTTTTTTTAACAAGATATAACATTTTTGTTTTTAATTTCTCTTGAATCATCTCTTCCTTATATTTCAACCTTTTATTATAATATATATATATATATATATATATATATATATATATATATATATATATTAATTTTCAGCTATGATGATGACAACGCTTATTACTTAATTATTTTTAAAAAAATTATAATTATTAATAGATATATTTTATCTTAATATATTATTAAACAATATTTTATTAAACCTATTTGAACATTAATGTTTTAAATTTGAATTTATAGAGTGATCCAAATTTTAAAAATATTAGTACTATAATTTTCAAAATCTAATATTATAAATTATCAAATTATTTTTAATGTTTTTTAATATTTTCTTAATAAATGTTAGTGTCTATTCTATTTTTTTAATTAAATTACTGAAAATAGTGAGACCCATTACTATTCTTTTTTTTTTCACTTTATTTCTCACTTATTTCATGTGTTGATTTATTTTTCGTTATTTTCTATTTCTCTCTAGTCCAACAACTTTAAATTTACATAAATCATCCTCCTATAAATTACATATCACATGCTAAATAAAAATGACCCAAACTATTTTTAAGCTTAGAATTTAGAACAGTTCATTGATTACGAAATTGCCACCATTGACGAGTAACTTGATGTTTCCCTTCCCTCCCATCACTACCATTTAAGTGTCATTGTTGAGCTCCTAAAGTTATTGTTTGTATGAAGAAATTGTTACTTATTCCTCGTCATGTGATTACTTTTACTTGAGTTATTGTGAAGATCAATACCGACTATTAACATCTCTTTTATTTTTCATCAAATTATGTATAAAGAACATCTTTTTTCCAACATGGACCTTATATTGACTCCACCCTTAAACATACACATGAGTAAATATGGAAGCATCAATCACTCAACTTTATCATAATAATTACAATTTGGCCCATTAGTTCTCAATGAGTTTTCATCATGTTTGCTAGTCACCAATGGATGACAGCTCAAGATCAATTTCATGACAACCTGATATTCTTTAAG